CCTGCCTAGGCAGGGGGTTGTCCACTAGGACTCCAAGATCCCTCTCACAGTTACTACTATTGAGGAAGGTACCACCTATACTGTATTGTGCATTTCGTTTTTCTTGCCTAAATGTAGAACCTTACTCTTTTCACCATTGAATTTCATTTTATTAGATAGTGCCCAAATAACGAGAGATGGTGTACATGTATATATAAATGCTCATAATTATAGATTAAAAGACTTTTGGAAAAAGAAATGTTAGAGTTTTTGTTTTTGAGCATTCACCAGTTCTAATCTTTGTACCTTATGCTATAATAAAAGTACTGTATTTGAGCTCCTCAAATGTTATAATGGGATTGTAACTGAATGAAAAAAATCCTTTTAGTTCTTTCATTAATAGTTTTCTTCACAATCAAGTTCCAGTCATCCTCAGAACTGCTAGCATCTGGAACTATTTTAGCTTATGGGTTTATTGAGAGAAGTAAATAGTTTTTTTTAACTTGAGAACTAAGTCCTGTTAGTGAAAAATATTTAAGCTGTAGCTAATTTTAGATAATAATAGAGTAAAAACCCACAGTAAATAGGTACATAATCTGCCAGTATTGATTAAAACCCCAAATCATTGAGAGATGACAGACAGACACACATGCACAAATTACATACATGTATACATATGCATGGCCTTTGAAAAAATTAATATTTGAGTAACCATATGAATCTTCTGGAAAGTATTATTATCCCAGAATCCCCCCCTCCAAAAAAAAGATAAACCTCTTCTTGCTTCCAGTCCTATGTCTCAGAATTCTAAATATTCAGAGGAGGAAATTTTTTCAGCTACACCCCATATTTTATTTTATTTTATTTGTTTGTGAGGGTAAGAATTGCACAAACTAAAGCAATAATTCTATCCAAGTATTATATATACTTTTTAAGAGAGTTGTTTCTACTTAAAATAGTTAAACTTAATACATGTTAAAGGAAACAAAGATTTTGGAATTCTTTTTTATTGTCTTCAGAATTTTGGTTGGAACTCTGAAGCAAGGTATCAGCATGAAATCTACAAATTGCTCTCACCATGCAATTACTTTCTGTTAAAGTTGTGATTGCTAACATTCGGGACTTGTGAGAGTTATAGTTCTAAAAAAAAATGAGCTTCAAGTTAGCTTGTCCATACCAAAGCTAGGTAGTAGATATGTGATTGCTAAATTTGAGTTAAGGAGTGATAATATAAGAAAATTTAGTATTTTTCTTACAAAAGAAGATAATATTTCATGCTTGTTTTCAACCTCTAAAACTTTCCCTTACAGAGATCATCTGTTACACCATTGGATTGCTCTGTTGGCAGACTGCCCCATCACTGCTCAGATGTATGAGGATACAGCATTGATAAAAGATCACACGCTTGTGAATTCTTTGATCCGTGTGTTGCAAACATTACAAGAGTTCAATATCACACTGGAAGCATCCCTTGTCAAAGGAATTGACATCTGATTTTGCTTCATGAAACAAGCACTGTTTAATAAAAGCAACAAGGAACAAACTATTGTTAGTATGCAAAGATATATCTGCTAATACATTGCATCCAGAATATTCATGTGACTCAATGCAACTCTTCTGGAATGAAGATCCAAATGGTGTGCAAAAATATAACAAAAATTCTACATCCGGTGTGTAAAAGGAAAAAGGATACTTATAAATTACTTTTAGAGTTTATTTGCTGATTTGCTTTTACACGCTTTCATGTGAAAGAGTTAGATGAGTATTGTGCAGCTTATTTTAAAGCTGTAATATTTCTTTGCCATAGATAATGGTGCAGTGAGAAGCTTTTAGCATTCTCTCAACTTGCCTTCAGACTGTATCCTGAAAAATTGTAATTAACACATTCCAATTTCTGCTAAGTCACTAAGCAATTAAAAACTAATATTTTATTACGTAAGTTACGCTATTTAGCATTTCAATGTTGAGTCACTGCTGTGCTGCAAGAAACTTAGAAATGTAAATGTTTTTAATAGGCTCAAAGCACTGAATTCATTAGCAATTTTTCTTTTTTTATCAGTATTATTTTTAGCAGATTTTTCAGGAGTGAAACATGCAGTTTGATGTTCAGAAATCAGTAGTATTTTTTCATACATGAAATTGCACAGAGAAAATTATAAGTGTGTTTTAACTGGCATTTATTTATTTAACTTTTTCGTCATGATCTGGTCTTTGCCTTTAAAAAAAGAATGCTATATACTTGAGTGCAGTCCCTTAGACCGAAGCTCCAAAATAAGTATGCAGAAAAATATGTCTCAGCATGGACATGCCTTTCAAGTTCAATCAGTTTATATATAATGATATTTCAGAACATAAAATACAAATGTGATTATTTTAAGGTCGCATATCCCCTATGTAATGGCTAACAGTGTAAAGATGTGACACTTGCTGGAATAGCATATAATATGCAGAGTCACATAGAACAAAATTTCACACTTGTGTGACATTTATGATACTGGCACAATTTTATTACAGCATTATAAGCACACATTTTGGTCAAATATTTGGGATGAGTATGAGTGAGGTCAGTATTACTGTGACTTACTTATGCTGTTACTCAACCTATTAACATGTAAAGGTTTTCAGATCTTGGTTAACCCTACTTCATAGGCAGAAAATAACAAACATTTTCTTTTCATATGCCGAATGTTATGTTCTAATTTTGCTTTGTTAAATGCAAGATTTCTTGGATACTTGTGAACATTGTGTAAAAATATTAGCCTATTCTAATAAAGTTCAGATGTGGATTCTTATAAATAGCAAAATTCCAATCAAGAAATTTTTTTAGTGAATGCCTAGAAACAACTGTTATTATTAGCTGAGAATTTAAAATCCTTAGAAAATGCATACCTAATAGAGATAATACTGAGATACATAGGACAAGGGTTGAAATCTCTGTACTTTAGTAGGAGGCCTTTTCTGTATGAACACTAGGCTTTAACATATGGAGCTGTGAAAAAGGAGTCTTCAGTTGTCAGTTTACTCAAGTAGCATTATTCTTAATTCCTACATTTTGTTGTCATTTTTCCAGTAACTTAAAGTACAGCACATGTATTAAATTTTACTATTTTTACTTACCTTGTGTTTTTCATTATTATCTTGATAAGTGTTCATTATTGCCTTCTTTCACTTCATTTTTAATCTATTTACTCTTATCCTAAGGGGTCTATGCTTGATTCTCAAAGGAGCACCTTTACTCTTATTTTATTTGTTATATATTGTGCTATACTGAAATCTCTCTGTGTGTTCATCTAAACATTTTTTTCCCCAAAATTTTATCAGGAAAAGTCTTAGCTAACTGCACACAAAACTTGTCAAGATAAAAACACCTGTTACATATTCTTTTAGGCACTTTCTTTTGAAATGCCATATTCCTTAAACTTTTTTGTATAAAATGTCTTCTGATAACAACTTAATAGAAGGTTTGTACAATGGTAGCTAATGCAGAGTGTGACTAAAGAATTGTATGAATGTATATCACACTAGACTTAATCGCAATTATCACCAGCATCTATACAGAGAAAATATTGGAAAGTTGTATTATCATTGTTTTTGTTTGCATTATGCAAGAATGCAAAAATCACTCTCTACTGTTGAAGGATTATTGGTGCTGCCCTATCATATTTCAAACATATGTGGTATTTAAATTTATTAAATTTCTTCCCATTGCACATACAAAACTCTTAATTTTAGGTGGTTCCTGGGCCTAATATGCAGTGGGACAAATTGCTTCTGGTAAAAGAATCTAAAGCAACACATTTGTCAAGCATGATGTATTTAAGAACCATGTTACTGGTTCTATGAACATCAATTATAGATTTGTAATCTTTCAATATCCACCTTATCTCCCATAATCTTGCAATACATGACAGACCTCTTCAGTCTGAGGGCACATATAGTGATAAATTTAGGAAAATATTTTAAACATTGTGTGCAATTGCATTTATGAAAACACAAGAAATAAAGGTCTAGGAAATCACTGTCTCATAACTATACGTCTTCAGATAAAACACAGTAGATACTCATTTCCAAACAAAATATCTCAAAATGCCTCAATTATAGAGGCAATATCAATATAGTTCAGTTATTCTTTTATGCTAAACGGAGGGCACAAAAGCACTTTTATATTCAAACCGTGCACACAAAATGATATATATCTTGCAAAACTAGAGAAATACTCAATTCTCAACATGGCACTGATGACCTAATTCTCATAGAATGCTGTTTCAACAACTCAAAAGATTATTGTTGTTAAAGCATAACAGTTAACAGAATTCTTCCTTTAAGCTGTATGATTTAAATACTTTCATGTGTTTAAGAAAATAACAAGGACTGCATTGTATTTATTTGATAGGCAACTATACCATTTGTCATCAAAATTGAAATTCATCATGAGAAGTATAGCTTTTTCCATTTACTAACAAGTCAGTTGCAGCCCATTCCTTTCAATGGAATTTTCTTCTATACCAGCACATAAACTTTTAAATCATGTTTCTATCTAGAGGAGAAATACTTTTCCACTGTGAAGAATTTTAAGTTTCAGACTAGTACTTCAGAACTGTGCTTGCGCTTTGTGTATTTCCAACAATATAGACAATGCATCTATGTTGATCTCTACAAGAATGAATTTCATTGTCTTTTAGTATTCTCATTGTCATAGTTAAAATTATCGGAAAACATGAAACATCTTGAAAGTTACATGGTTTTAATTTTCATTTTATACTTAGGGTTCTTTACTTTCCTCAAAATGCAGTTGTAATTTTAATAAAATATGAAGAAATTTGGCACATTTTAGTCATTTTTATAGAACAGAAACTTCAAGTATTTAATTCCTTTTCTAATTGTAATTTGTATTTTTAAACACTGTATAGATATAGCTTACTTGAACTGCAATAAAGCTTTTTTCTAACATGATAAACAAGATTAATTTAATATGCCATCTGTGGTATTGGCTTGAATTATGTAGAGGTATTTCATCACACATTGATACTTCCAATAAAATTCAATAAATGAAATACTTCTTGCATGCAGCAAGCTCTGCTAGAAACCTGTTTTATTCATTCATAAGTTGCCGTTTCAGAGCTACTTCATTTTCCACAGGATTTGTTCTGTGATGAGGATGCAAACCACACAGATTCAAATTCAATATCCAATTATGTATAAACTAGGTAAGTATAAGGTGACCAGATTTTCAGATTGGTAAAGAGGGACACCTTTTGCCCGGGGGGGGGGGGGGCGATTAAGTATTTTATACGGAGCAACAAAAATTTTCATATAACGCAAAAATAGTATTGTAATATTTTTTTTTATTT